CGGGATGGCTCGGCGCGGCGGCGGTGTTATTTAGGGTCAGTCGGCGGGGCAGCGGCGCCGTGAGGCGACGGCAGCGCCAACAGGTGAGGGCCGGGGGGGGCAGGCGGAAGCGGAAGACGATTCACGAGGCTTGCGGCCGCTGGCGGTGGGCCCTTTTCGTAACCCCCTTGCCAGCGTCCACGCTGCCTGTGTGCGCAGCTCTCTCTGAGGGGCGTCCGCCGGCGCTGGGCGCGCTGGCCCCTTCTTTCCCCTTACTGGCTGTAGCCGGGCTCAGCAGGCCGAACCGTGCACTGAGGGCGGGGAGGGCGGAGGGGTGGGCGCTTGGCCAGGACTGACTGGGGCGACGACGGCAGCCCTGCGCCGCTCGTTTCCGAGCCGATCCTTCGCCTTCCCCCCCGGTGGCGGGGGTGTCTGGGTACAGCCTTTCTCGTCCTCGCCTGTGCCAGGGCCGGGGTGCGCCGCAGAGGAGTCTCAGCTGCCCTCGGCGGGCACTGACGGCGCTGGGGCTTAAAATGCAACATGGCCTCGCCGAGCGCCTGGGGCCTCCTCGGTGTGGGGCCTGAGGAGCGGTTGAGGCCCCCTTCTTGCCAGTGTGTGTCGTACCAGTTGCTAGGGTTGCCCCATCTGCTGCCCTTCCCCTGTCTCGGTCCAGTTTTACTGACCCGCTGGCGTGGCACAAAGGGTAAGACTGAAGATTAGCTGGGGTTTTCTCTAGTGCAGAGGCTGTTAATGCTGACAGTTTTAATAAATAATTTTAATAAAGGTGCTGCGACCCTTACAGTGTCTTTGGGATTTTCTCGACTGTGATAAGCTTGGCCATATTATCGACAGGCGTTTTCGTGTTGAAAAGCGTTAGATTTTATTGCCATCACCACAGATGGCCTGTTCTTGTTGCTTGTAGACCAGAAGGTAGAAAATCGCTGGCCTTGAAAGAAAGGCACACTTCGGTTTACACGTGGGCCAATTACCGAAGCGATTACCTGAGGAATTAGGGAGGAGCGGGTACAGGGAGCAGCGTGGGTCGTCTGTTAGCTTCCGATGTGCTCCTGAGCTCCAGTCATCCTTGCAGCGGGTCTCTGACGCTCTTCCTAAAGAAAAACAGAGACATTATTTTCATCTTGCAGATGATGAAACTGAGGCACAAAGGAAAGCAGTCTGCCAAGTGTGCTGGCAGCACGGAGGAGAATAAATCCCTCTCAGTTTTCATCCTTGTTTTAGGTTGACTAGGTGATTGCCAGCTGGTGGCTGCTTATTACTTATGAGGCATTTCTGAAGGAGATGCCTGGTAATAGAATTATGTTGGGTTGTAGTTAAGTCGTTAGTGACCTGTGCTGTCACTGAGAAGGAGTTGGGAAACAACTGAAGAGTTCGGGTACTTTTGAGAGTTGTGGGTTCTTTTATCCTCTTTTTCCTATAGAACATAAAATTTATACTACTCTTCCTAAATACTGTTACTTGCAGATAAATAATATCTAAAAAGGATTTTGAAAGTATGTAACTTCTAAACTTAAATTTTTAATCTGTATGTTAGTGTATCACGTTAAGACAGTAGGAGAGGATGATGAAAATTGGAGATTTTTTTCCTAAAAGTAAAGCATTAAAAAGAAATATTTGGGTCTTGTTTACATGTCTAGAAATGTGATCTCTTAAGGAAAGCCTATGCATACAATTGAGGGGTGAGAAGAAGTACATGTGCACATGTGTAAGTGTGTACACAAAATGGAGATACAGTATCTCCAGTGCTGCTTTCCTGGAGGATTAGCACTTGCATAGTTGTATGAAAATAAATAAACTTCTTGGCCAGTTTCTGTAGAATGATTCTTATATTATCCAGAACTACCTAAATTGGAGAACCAGCTTTGGTACTTGTCAGTCTTGCAGGTTTGACTTTAAGCTGAGAAGACAGGATGGTAAGATACAGTTTTGTGTAAGTTCATTTGCTTTTTAGACTAAAGCTACTTGCTAGCTGCAAAGAGAAAAATCCAAATTATTTCAGAGAAAGCAATCTGCAATTTTGGAAGGCACCGGAAAGAGGAATGTAATTCTTACAAGCAGATATTCAGTGCTCTGATGAAGTATTTAAATAATTCTAATCTGTGCTGCTTTGTTTGGGTTTTGTTCTTTTTTTTATTCTGAGTGCTGTACTAAAACCCTGGATGTAGGGAGAAGTTTCCTTCTAGAGCAAAAGGAATTAGTAACATGGAGTAATCCCTTATCTGTTTCATGAAAGGGGCAGAGATACAATTTGTGTGTAGGCATTTTAAATGTGAAAAAGAATTTCAAAGTATTCTGTGCATATAGTGTTAACATAAGATTTTCAAGTGATTCTTTTAGAGGTGTTAGTGTTTTTTTTTGAGTCTCAGATGTTTTCGAGAAGGAAGTAGGTTTGGAGAAAGGAAGGAAGCTTGCAGATGAAATACTTCTAATTAGAAAGTAGTTACAGACTAAGTAATCAAAATTCCATTAAAACAGTTAGAGCTTTCAGTAGTATCTGGCTTGTTATTAAACCTCAAGCAATGCTGCTGCTAGGTGCAGTATCACTTGCTCTGTCTTTCTGAGCTATGTGGATTCTTACCACTTGAAGCTGTAAGCTCTTAAATTTTTTGGGGGGTATTTCTGGAAATCCATTTGTCAGCAACCTTTTGGCTTCTGTGACTGATGTGATAATGAGCCTTAATAGACTGAACACCTTCCTGTGGTGTTTATGGTGTGTTCTGTAGTTCCCAACTTGCAAGTTGGGTTTGCTGGCAATAACACGTTATTTTAGCTATTTCTCTTGAACTGAAATTGTCATTTGTAGGTCACTTGGACCGTAATTGCCACCTCTCTGAAACTGAAAGATAGTAACTCATCATATGACATATACCTGTATTAAGTTTGGGGGAGTTTTCATGATTTATGAAATCAGAATAATTTGTAAGGCTTCTCGCAGTTGCTCAGAATAAGTAGCGATACTTGTTTTATATGAGCGCCTGACATTTCTTCAAAAACTGTTACTCATAGTTTAGCTGTAAAACTCAATGAGCTACTTTGTTCATATAAAGCTTGATTTTAGGGTTGTTACTGGCTTTTTATAGGATGCTTCCTGAAGCAGCAGTTTAAGGTTCAGGCATAGAGGCGAACTGGTTTTCTTTCAAAATTTAGCAGGATGTGAAGCTTAGTAAAAGCCCCATATGATTTGGAGATTAAATGGGGAGATGTCATGGCATATGAGTTTGTCTGTTGAAGTAATAACAATGTTTTAACAATTTTTTTCCTAAGATAATTTATGTTCTGTGAGTTAAGCTCTGTCATCATCAGCAGTTCTAAATTGACTGTTGGTTTTACTGTGTAGTATTTTGATGGACTTTGGTCCTTTGCCACTTTGGCAAACTTAACTATGGAAGTAACCTGACAAACTTCTATCATCAGTTTCTGTCTCCCTTTCCTTTCCACTTAGTGGTCCTCAACAACTACATAGTATAGATAAAATGTTGATTTGACTTCTCTTAACAACAAAATAAAAACAAAAAAAAACCCATTCCTTCAGTGTTAGTTCAGCATCTGGTTAAACTTTCAGGTTAGGTTCCTGATACATTACACTAGCCTATAAAACTTGTGGCTGTGGTGCATAACTGCTGAAACTATTGAGTTTTCTGTGGTCCAGACATGCAGCTTAGTCTGATTGAAGTAGTTATGGTTTAGCATTTCTTTTGAGTGATGGTGATGGCACTATGTTTCAAAGTTTTAGTATAGATTTTATGCAGGGTTTCTGCCCTCTGCACCTGAGCATCTTTATATGCTCAGATTAGAAAACACTGGTTTCCACAGAACTCTCTTCCTCGCTCTAATCTGAAGTATGATTCCTTGTTTTGCTAGTTATAAGCCCCATCTTTTTTTTTTGTTTTTATGGCTTTCACCTGAGCACAATGGATGGAAGTGCTTAGTGTAGAACTAAATTTCAGTTAGGAATCAGCCTTGTAAAAGCCAGAAAGACTAATATTTTAAAAAGCAGCATGCAGTAGAAGTCAATAGCCCCTTCATGGGTTCAGAGTGTGTAGCTTCAAACCTCATTGATCAGGAAGGAGGAAGTAAAATATATCAGAACGGCCTAGAAGCAGATAAATGCTGAACTGTAGCGTGATCTGGACAACATAGTCACAACTGTTTGTTTCCTGTGCTGTATGTAGGTGGGCTTTCCTCTGAACTTGCCATTGCAGGTGATGGATCATTAGTCTTATTTCTCTTGCCTTTCAGGAGCTGAGTGTGGGAGAATAAGTGCTATAAACTGTGGATGGTTTCTTTGCTCCCTCAAAACAGATACTAACTTTCCAAACTGCAAAGTAGTGGAGATTTGGACTTCGTCCTCCTAAAATCTTGTATTCCAGGTCTGGAAGACAGTTGGATATAGAAATAACATTTTAAAAAGGGAAGTCATCTTATTTTGATTTGTTCTGAAAAACATTATACTTCAGAACAAAGTTTGTGATAATTCTATCTTCTTATTTCTGTTGAGTCTGTTATTAACTCAGTGTTGACTTTTATGTTCTTTCAGGTGCTTCATAGTATTTTGTATTAACCTGAGCCATACTTACTAGGATTACTAGGATTTTAAAACCAGCAGTTCCTGAGTAGTTTTGTGAAAATACAATTTAACCCAAAATAAATCACTACCAGAAAGAAAATGAATACTTTGTAATGATGTAATATTTACCTTAGCTGATGTGCCATTATTCTAACATGTCATCAGTTGCGATACCAAATGGGAGAGAAATGCTCTAGTGAGCATTCTTTTTAAAAACTCTCGGTTTTGCTTTTTTATATCTGCTTCAGTCTTACCTCTTTCACTGTGGAAGCAGATTCTGCTGTTCTGCAGCTTTTAGCAGTTAGAAGGGAGGGGAGTTGCTGCTTCTTTCCACCTAGCTTGTAGTTGCCTTAGGGCTCTCATGAGTTTCAGATCTTCTGCAGCTTAAATTGTTCAACTAAATATCTGTAACAGAACGTTGCTTAAATAAAATTAAAAAAAAAAATAAAAATCTGAAGCTTTATCTTTAATGGAGCACAACAAGCTTTAGGTTGACAAGCAAGCAGTATTTCTGATAAATGTTAGAGTAAGTCAAGACACTAAAATAGATTCCTGTGTGCTAGTTCTATTCAGTGTCTGAAAACCAGAATCAAAAAAGAATACTCTTCTGAGTTTGGGTGTATTCACTGTATGAATCTGTTAAAATTTGCAAAACCACTTGGGTCTTTAAAATGCAGAAAAGCATGAGCGAACAGAAACCTTATTTTTCAGAGGTTAGAAGACTTTACATCTATAATAATAAAAAAAATCAATTGGTTTAGTTCTCTTACTGTGTGCTTGTAATAAATATCTAAACATGTACTGCACTTGAAACTGCATAATGGTTTTCATATCCAGCCCAGTGAGAGTACTTGAGTGTAACACAGAAAATATGAATAGTCTTTTCATTCTAAACTTCATACCACTGCAATTCCAAACAACCTCTAGTGACACATATATTAATGCTTCTTAACATAATTGTCAAGTCTTCTAATCAGCAATATTTCTAGTATTTCTATGTAGAAAATCTTGGTAGGTTTTGAGTGATGAACTCACAAGTACAGATGCAAATATTCTGTTGAGTGATTCTGATTGCTATTATTTTAGGTGTAACTGAAACACATCTACATGGGTGAATCCTACGAAGACTGTGCTGTAAAGGTTTCATGTTGGCTTTAGTTTGTTTCTAATTCTTATGAATAAAGATTTTCTTTACATTATAATGTTAATCTTGGTTTGTTGGAAAAAGAAAATGTTTGTATGTGCTGATACCTAAGGAATGAGTTTCTAGCTTGTTACTGATACATCAGTGCTAAAATGTCTAATGTTACTGATCTTTATGAAATGCCTTGTTTAGTTTGTAATAATGACAGAAAGGCACTACATGCAATCAAATTAAAAGAGTATTTCCTATCATAAAATGCAATTTCTTGTCCTGCTGATAATAGTAAATGTAGCATTTAAATTTTCCTTTGTAAGAAACTGCAGAATTCCTAAAAACTTAGTGAGTTGCCTTCTGTAGGGCTAAAGTTCAGAATACCACTTTCCAAAGAAGTTTTGTCAGGTCAATGAAAATAAAACTACAGAAGCAGGGTTACTACAGGCAATATCATCTTAAATCGTAGTAAGCATAGAAATTTATCTTTAGTTTCTAGCTATAAGAATAGTATGAAGTCTGCTTCTAGAAATCAGGTTGTGGACTTTGTCTTGCTTGACCAAGCTGATCTTCCTGTTCCTGTAAAGATGCCCAAGTGTAACTGCCAATAATATGACTAGAGAATGGTCACTTGCTTTTAGTAATTGAGGGCTGCTTTATAAAACTGCAAATTGATAAATACAGAGGATACTTTTGTGGCTTCAAAACAATTGGAGTGGAAGCTACTCTGAACGCTTCTGTTTCTCTGACCTGTTCTGTAGAATTGTCAAAATGGAAAACAAGTGAGCTTTGCTACAATACAGAAATAAACAACATAAAAAAACTTTCCAATTTCTGAGGAATTGTGAACTCCCTTGTCAGATTTTGAAGGCTTATTTATGCTTTTTCTATAGTAGTCAACACTATATGGTTCTTGATATGGAAGCATTGTACTTTGTAATTCTTGCATGGATTTTAAGTCACTCTTGTGAATGAGATGCATGGTTTTGGGGTGAGTTGTTGTGAACCTTAAGCAAAGCATTTATATCAGTGCACTTGAAAGCTACATAAGTATGGTAACCATAATCAAATTCATACGGTTTCGTTTCAAAACCTGAGCCACAGTGTTACGCTTTCTGTTCTGCGTGAACCTCCTGCAGAAGTTCCAGTGAAGTTTGTTCCCATATACAGCACAAAAACCTGAAGCTGATATATTTCTTAAATTTGTAACTGCTTTAAAGAGGCTTTAAACTGCATCAGTTGTCTTAAGTAGTGTCCTGGGAACCCAGGACAAGTAGACACTGGATTTTGTTACAGCAGTAAGCAAAATGAAAATTGTATGCCCACTGTTTCTCTAGAGTGAGAATATACTATTTCAGAAAAGGAAATGTGTGTACTTAAGAAATTGTCGTAGACCAAATACAAATCTGAATTTGACAGTGATCTGAAGTGACAAGTAATAGTCTAAATTAACTATATATATTTTTCTCTGTTACAGGAATTCTGTGCAGCATGTTTTCTGGGTGGAACTGGGTAGCCCACAGCTTATATCTCTTCTTGAACATCTGTTCTCTTGAAGGTAAGACTTCCCTGACTCAAATGCAAGAGACTTATTTAATTTGATGCTTGAAGCATATCCTGCTTTTTGTATAGATACTTGTGAGATGAAGACAGAAAGCAAGATGTATTAGGATAGGGAGACTAGTCTTTGCTCTTAATAGTGTTAATGCATGTTAAAGCAATACTTCTGCTTCTATTCATTAGTGATCTGTGTACAAAGAATGAAGAGTGACTTTGGTTGCTGGGAGGTTGCTTTAGTTCCCCTGACATCACTGGGGCTGTTATAGCAAACTGAAATTTAATTTCACCTATGCCAAATGGTATCTAAATGAAAGCATGTATTGGTAAAACTGAATGCTGTTAAAGCAATAAGCTACCAGTGAACTGGTGTAGTAGGCTCTATGATCAGTTCGGAGCTGTGGGCCACTGCTGTTGTATTGAAAATGATCATCCTCAATATGTTTAGTATGGCTGTTGATTCAAGGCAGTATTTCAGTTGTCTGTTTCATCCTTAGAACTTGACACTTTTTATGTGCATCTGTAGCAGTAGTCACAATTCTGTTGTGTTGAAGTTTGTTAGTAAAAAGAATACTATAAAATGTGCAGAGTTCACTGTAGTTACCAAATAGGCTTATAGTATGCCCACTGAAGCTTTTGAAATTGACAACTCAAATACTTAACTGTTTGCATGCAATTCGTCAAAAACTAGTTCACCACAACAAAGGTGCACACTTACCCCAGTCATGTCAACTATATTACCCTTCTCCTTCAAAACATAGTAAGCATTCAGTCCTTTGCTCTCCTCTCTCTCTAAAGGCCCCTGTTAATAGAGCTTTTCTTGCATGGTGAAATGCTTTTGCAAAGCCTAGGGAGGACTATGCTGGTTTTGCCCTTTAGATCTGCTTGGTGGTCCCCTAATGCATTTCAGGTTTATAGCTGTCAAGTAATTAACTCATTTCCTGCTTAAACACATGTAGTATTTTTAATGTTACACAGGTGTTGTATCAGCAATATTATGGAATGTTCTGTATTTTTTAATAAAGATGCAATTCTTTTTAGTTTCAGGTGGACTTGTACAGTCATGTGGTCACATCATCCCAGAGTCTCCTGTATTGGCCCTTGGTTCCAATTTCACAGCATTATGCATTTTGAATGAGAGTTGTCTGGACTTTGGCAATATCTATGCTAGTCAGATTATCTGGAAAATTAAAAATAGAGTGGTACCTAAAGAACAGTATCGTGAAATAAATAGAACAGTGTCCAGTGTCACATTTAATGATACTTCTGCACTAGCTACTCCTCTGACATGCAACATTTTAGCAGATGGACAGATTGAGCAGAACATTTATGGAATTACAGTTACAGTAGGCTGTAAGTACTGTTTTTCTTGCCTTTTATTCTACTTTAACAAAAGTTTGAGAAACACGGAAGAGAATGCAAACAATAGTAAGTGTGCACATCTTGAGACACTTCATTCCCTCAGTTTCTGGATAATTGTATAAAACCATTGTCAAATTACCCGACATCAAATCTCGTAAATGTGCACAGAATAATGATTTCTATTCATTTCTATTCAAAATAGACAATAATCTCGAGTGTTTGTGTTGAAATAGGAAGAAAACAGAATAATATAAAACAGTAGGAAAAAAAAGTCAAAGAAGGAAAACGTACATTACAGAAAGATATGAATTTAACTGAAACAACTCCTAGGAAGTAAACTAACTTTTCCTTCTCGCTTCTGTGTCAGAGTTCAAGGAAATACAAGCAGGTGGTATGTCCTGCTTTCATAATACCACTTTGAAACTAATGTTTTCTTCATTAATGGTCTGAGAAATACTTAGTCTATCTGTATCACAAAACTAGCCTTAGCTGCCTTAAGGTTGGAACATACTCTTTGAATTACCTCAGTACAGAAGAAAATACTTCCAACTAATTATAAACTTTCCTTGTTCAAGACTGATAGCACTTGCATAGATCTGAGCATGTGTTCTTTGAGACAAGACTGGGATATTGAGAAAGTAATATGAATACCTTAATATACGGTGTAATTAGTTGGTGGACAGTTTATAAAGGAAGTGTTCAGGTGTCCTTGATAACAGAGTATGAATAGCTGATAACTTATTTTTGCCGCCTAGTGTTAGGAAGAGGTATTGCAGTTGTTGCATGGTCTGTACAAAAACCTGGGTTGAGTTCACAATTTAAGCTAGTGTGGTTCTAACTTGAGTTACAAAATGCTTTCACAGAGAAAAGCTTTATTTTTCAACTTCTGATGAGTAAATTTCTTACCATGAAAGATCCATCAGGCAAAATATGTGGAAAGGTGAGGACAGATTCCTAAGATGATAAACTGAATGACAGTACAGATAATATTCTACAGTTCTAATTCACCTATGAGTCTTGAGACTCATTTGTATTTAAAGCTATTATATTTTCGTACTATCAATTAAAGAAAAATTCTGTAAACAATGTAACAGGTTTGAGAATAATATAACTACTCAGGAACAAAACCATATATTCATAAGATAACTCTGAAAATAGCATTCTGCTGGAAAGAAAATCAAGTACCTTATACTCTTGTAAGTAAAGTGGTATTCTAAAAGCTAGAAACCAACATTGTATACCATGATTTGTATTTAAGAAGGAAAAAATAATAGTTCAGCTGCACTTGGAAGAATTTTCTTGCACACCAGTGAAGTGTATTGATGAAGATCCCTTGTCTCTCTTGAACATGTTCACAGCTAAAGCATCCTTCTGTAGCTCAGGTAGGGGAGAACAGACCTATCCAGAATTGCCTTAGAGCTCAGATTATTGGCAAAGTCAGCATTTGCTAATCCAGCTGTAGAGCTCACTAGCGTGTGAATCAAAATAGATTTAGGTGATACCAGGTTTTCTGCCTCAGTGAGAACTCTGTGCTATTCCATACTATCAAGTGTTTGTTCCTCATACAGCTTGTTGGTTTTGAGAGCAGCTGGTTAAGCTTCTTTGCTTCCGTTGCTGAATATTAGCTAGCACTTTTTGCCCCCTCCTTTAGAAAGAAAACTGACTATAAATACTTGCGATGTTCATAGAAATTGCTCTAATTGGGCACTTGGGTGATTCTTACTGGGTTGAAATGTGTATATAGGTTAATTATTTGTAACTTTTTGTCTTCAGTGCCCCCAGAGAAGCCCAAGAACTTAAGTTGCATTGTACATCAGCTGTCAAAAATCACATATCCTATGACTTGTACCTGGAATCCTGGGAGGCATACATTCCTGGACACTCACTTTAGATTGAAGTACAGATGGTAAGTAGCCCTCTGTAGAATTTCTAAAGAATTTTGGAAAATACTTGTATGCTAAACCAAACTTCCTTGAAATTCCTTGGTACTTTGGAAGAGTTCTTAACTTAAATCCAGTTTTCTGAAGCATAGCTGTCTATTCGGGGGCGGGGGGGGGGGGGAAGGGAAGAGCTCATATTTAAACTCATTCTAAGTCAGACTTGAAATTTTGTTTCTATCTCCTATTTTTCTGTTCTTCAAATAAATTATTAGTGTGGTTTGAGTACAATATGTAATCGTCAGGTGGCTGGCTCCAAATTTTGTATTCTACATTTTTCTGTAGTGACATTCTATTGTATTCTAAACAAGTAGACAGTATCCCTGCTTATTGCAGGAGGGATAGACAAGATGACCTTCTGAGATCCCTTCCAACCCAGCCTATTTTGTGATTCTAAGTAAATCTGTGATTCTAAGTAAACCTGAGTCTTAAATGACTGGATTTTGTAGAGGTATTATCTACTCTGTACTTCTAAGAACTCAGAATGGCGTTTGTCCATGATTAATCCTAACATGAAAGTTTCAGCCAAAGTATTTTTTCCTGTGAAAGCAAAATAAGTATCTTTCAAACTCTTCAGATGGTCTCTTGTAGTTGAAAATGGAGTGGACAGAATTGGTGTTTTGCTGTGGAAACTGGAATGAGTGCCCACAGCTTTCCATCTACCCCATTCCTCTAAAGTGTTTTGGTAACAAGCATAGTAGAAAGATTGGATAAATAGAAAACTTTAATGCTTTGTAAATTTGCTGATGCCCCTAGAACTGTCTGCTGTTAATGTAGCAGAGAACAATGAGCAGAAATGATGTGTAGCCGCAACACTGTACTCCTGAAGGTTATGCAGATAATACTGATTACATCTTTGAATGCATGAATATGCTTCTAGTTCCTAGCTGTATTGCTTTTGATTAAATGTATCAGTTCTTGATCTTTATTTCTTTAAGCTAAGTAAGGTTTCTATACAACTTTATAATAACAGTAGTGTCCTGTGCTTTTGAAGATATGTGGCTTGGAAGTCAAGAGGTTTTATTCTAGTTTCTGTCCTAATGCAGTCATGGCTTAACAAGCCATTCTAAATCTCTTAATCTTTTCATCCCACCTGTCTGCTTACAAAAATAATGGCAGAGGGGAAGCATACAAGCTAAAGTGATTGATCGCTCTGATCTACTTAAAAGATTCTCGAAAGGAAACCAAACTTACTGCTTTGTACCTTTTCCCCCCCCCCTTTTATCTAGGCTACAAGAGACCTTTCCTGACTGTATACCAAAAGATGTAAACAATTCTTGTACGATTCGTGATGTTCAGTTCTTTGTTAATACGAAGGTCTGGGTAGAAGCAGCAAATGCCCTCGGGAAGGCTGAATCTGATCCTCTTATTCTTGATCCCATTGAGATTGGTAACTATATGCCTATTAATAAAACTTTACTTGTACATAACTGCTGCTTCTGTGTATATTGCTGAATTGCTGTGTTAATGTTCCTTCACTATAAAAATTAACACTGCTGAAATATTGTTGACTAGAACTGCGCTGGACAAAGGAAGGAAGGTGGGAGATCTGACCACAATTCAGTTAGCAAGTTCTCGTTGAACAGTCTGCTTTAGAAGCTACTATGAAGTAGCAGCTATTTGAGTTCGTATAAGACTTTAATGGTAGTACAAGTTGGTACAGCATAGTATACCAACTGCTAGAAGCATTATAAAATACAGCTGTAGAGTTGACTTTTATCTCCTCTTCTAGTTAAACTTCTGCCTCCACACAATTTATCAGTCAACTCAGGAATACTGCCTACTGTTCTGAAGCTTTCTTGGGAGAATCAGATTTCAGACACTGCGATGAAGCTGAAATTCAATATTCGCTATAAGATCATGGGTGACACAAACTGGATGCAGGTAATACCACTAATGTTCCTTGTAACTCTTCTGGTGTAACCCAGCTGTTTGTCAAACTGCAGTTGTTCCCTCACAGCTGCAGTTCAGAGGATTCACTTTATTATCATTAGGTCTCCCAAGGCAATTTATCTGGTCTATTCGTGAAGGCTGTTACCTAGGCTATTTTGGTACAATCTGGAGTACAGTGACCTTGTCTGTTCTTTATGGACTTGTTTGCTATCCTCCCCATCATATTGCAGTATGTTTATTTTGCATTTTTATTCTGTACACTCAACATGAACTTTCATCTTCCTGTATACATGAAGACTTGTGATGCAAACATCATTTAAAGCTTGGGCAAACACTCTTAAGTGCTGGAATGCTTTTTGAATTTGCTGTACCTGCACTGCCACAGCAGCCCCAGGCAACGCTACAGGCTTGGGGAAGAGTGGCTAAAGAAAAAGGACCTGGGGGTGCTGCTTGACAGCTGAATGAACATGATCCAGCTTGTGCCCAGGCAGCCAAGAAGGCCAGCAGCAGCCTGGCCTGTGTCAGAAATAGTGTGGCCAGCAGGGCCAGGGCAGTGATCATACTGGGCACCGATGAGGCTGCACCTCGAATCCTGTGTTCAGTTCTGGGCCCCTCACTACAAGAGGGAGATTGAGTGGGTCCAGAGGAGGGCAACGGAGCTGATGAAGGGTCTGGAGAACAAGTCTGATGAGGAATGGCTGAGGGAATTTGGGGGTGTTTAGTCTGGAGAAGAGAAGGCTCAAGGGGGAACCTTACAGTTCTGTACAACTACCTGAAGGGAGGTTGTAGCAAGGTGGGTGTTGGTATCTTCTCCCAAGTAACAAGTGATAGGACAAGAGGAAATGGCCTCAAGTTGCTTCAGGGGAGGTTTAGACTGGATATTAGGATAAGTTTCTTATCTGAAAGTGTTGTCAGGCATTGGACCAGGCTGCACAGGGAGGTTGTCCTGTCCTTTTAAACATGTACACAAGACCACTGAAGTATTAACTTTTGAAATGACTGACCTTGCTTAGCTGTGGTAAAATTTGACTGCTTTGATGATTCTTTGCACTCAGCGTTAACCTCTTGAGTGTTCTCCGTGTGTTTAATCTGCAGTCATCCCTTTTGCAGGGTTGCTCACTATACAAACCCCTTAACACGTGATGTAGGCACTCAGTGTGCATGTGTACCTGCGTATTGCTGTTATCCACATCACACGTCTGTTTCTGTACATATGCAGTAAGAATATTTTCTGGTATTCTGTTGCTGATTAAGATAAAGGAAAGAGCTTATAAAAATAATTTATTAGCAAAAGTATAAACTACTCTAAAACTCTTGACAATGTCAGTTAAGAAACTTTCCCTGTCAGTGGAAGCGGTGATCCTGTAGGATCATGTAGGAAGCTTCTAGCACAGGTATTTTCAATTGATATTCCAGCAGATATCCCATCTTGCCTTTCAGGACTTTGCTCAGTTATTACAGATTAGTAAGAAGAGGAATTATATGGGAAGGAAAGAGGGGTAGACGTAAATTAATCAAAGAAAACAGAATGAGATAGCTGCTTACCTATTCTACTGTATGTATTGCTTTATACCTGATAAATACACACAACTCTGATCCCTTACCAAACTATGGTTGAGAATTTAAGCTTTTAGAAATAAGAAGGAAGAAAAAATGTTGTTTGTATTGGGCATGTATATGGTGGAGAGCCGTCTTGGATGACAGCTGTAGTAGCACAGAACTTAGCTTTACAACTTTTGATCAGTGCCTCTAAAACCTTTCTTTCATTTACAGGTTCCTCCTGAAGATACAGCTTCAACAAGAACTTCATTCAGTGTTCAAGGGCTCAGACCCTACACAGAGTATGTCTTTTCAATTCGTTGCATGAAGGAAGATGGAGTGGGCTACTGGAGTGACTGGAGTGAAGAGAAAACTGGGGTCACCACTGAAGATAGTAAGTAGTACATGAAAGTAGGTCACTGACTTTCAAAATGTGCAATTTGGCAATAGTCAGCTGAAATTGTGTATCCTTGCTTGAGCTGTTTGATTATACATGCAATAAGACTTTACCAAGTTACTTTCTGTAGTGACCACCTTGACCTGTGCATTCCAAGGAACATGCGAGTAGCTTTCCAGAAAGCTGGTCTAGAGGTGCTCCCTGAAAACAGCTAAAACAGGAAGTAGGGAAGAAAAGACTTCTTTTCACAGAAAGTTATGTTCTCAAAGTCTTTTAGAAGAGATGTATGCTTTATGCTTCATTTCCTTTGTTCTGAAGATTACCCTCTTCAGAAGCTATTCTGCCTCTGTGAAAGGCTTTGGGGTATTTTTGGAAGACAGACTGCCTTAGTTTGTCAAAAACTTGGTGTTTAAGAGGCTTATAAATAAGCTATAAGTGAACAAGCATCAAAGTATGAAACAAGATTTTTAGTCATATAGGGTACAAAGACTTCTTTGCAAACTTTGTAAAAACAGTGATACAAAATAATGTGCATATGGGAAGTTTAGCCCATTATGCACCAAAGCATGTAAATAAAACACCCTGGTACACTCTTAACTTTGCCAAGATATTCTGCATTTACCACCCTTTCTTGCTCATCACAGTCACAGCTGCCTCTGCACTGTCTTGTCCTCACTTGTTTGCAGCGTTCTACAGGTAGTAATAAAGAGTCTCGTCACTGATTTGTTTGTCACAGTGAGAGGCATAAGGAAGAGAATGTCGTGTACGAACAGCTGACTTTGAGCATGATTGAGTCTATGTAGAAAATGGTTTTATTTTTAATATTTAATCACAGAAATCACAATCACCTTACAATTTCCTTTCTTGATGGCTTACATAATCATTGGAGTTGTCATCTGGACTTGTAATAAATATCTTGTCTCTGCAGTAGGGGTGAGCACTGAATTGCTGCTATTATGACTTAATGAGGAAAACCTTACTAGCATCAGCTTTTTAGGAGCAATATCTGGATTATGTTTAGTCTTGCACAAAAGGACTTTGCCAGCAGATTATATGCAACTTGAAAGTATAAACAGATTACGGCTCAAGATACACAAAAGATAGCAGACCACTAGATTAAGTTTTAAATTCACAGCCCTGGAAAAAAAAAGAAAAACAAAAAAACTCAAGAGAGCCTTAGTTAAGTGTCAGTCTTCAGTGCTTTGTGGAAGAAATCCTCAGCATTGCAAAGTTGCTGGCAGCACCAAATCTATTCATGCTACAGCCAGCTCATCAACTTCCTTGGCTTTTTAACATCTTGTGGTGCTCCAGTCAGCTGTTACAAAATTATCTGTTGCCACTGATATTGTCTGTTAGTACTGAACTGTATGATCTACAGGTATGCTGCATCAGCCTGGACTCATTCACATTCCTTCAGGACAGTGGCGCTGGAGACTGTTACTGCACACTGTATCGTCTAAGATCTGTGTCCACTGCATTACACAGCATGTTTTTTAACTTCATTAATAATTTCCAGTTGCTTATCAACACATACATTGCTTGAAATGTACTGTAGCATTAAAGTAGCTATAACTCACTGTTAATGAATTTAATATACATCACAGATCATGGAGTTCATTGCGGTATTTACCCAATCGAGAATATCTCCTGCAAGTTTGTTCTTAACTACAGAGAGTGTGTGTTCTGCCACTGAGTTGTGCCAAAACCATTAGTTGAGTATGCTTAGCTTTTTCTGTTACTGATTTATTTTTTTTTTTCTAATTTTGGCCATTTTGTTTTGCAGCATTTTCATGACTTAGCAATTGTTGCATCAACTCTAAACTTATACAGAATAAACTTGCACAACAGTAACTGAGCAGTAGTTAGTGGAACAATGACATTAAAATCACACCCATGTATTTGTTACAGGATGAAAGATCCTATTCTCAGATAGTGGATTCCTACATTTTCCTGTAACAGAACAAAAATGCATGCAGTGTAGTAACAAACACAGCTTAGACCTATTCATTTGGCCATTACATTTGCTCTCCAAATAAAAGCCCCAGGCTTACCTTTCTGTGATACATTTTCCTTTTATAATTCACCTGAGTAGCGCACTTAGACTGAACTGGAACTGATTTAATGTCTTCAGTAGATGCTTGGGAGGTGCTAACCGGTATGTTATTGAATTTAAACTTCTGTTGGTGTCAGAACACCGAACATATGAGCATTTTGATCTTGCTAAAGGTAAAAAATGAACTGTTGAGGAAGACCTGTGACATTAGCTGTGATGCATTGCAAATATAAATAGTCTCTTTTCTAGTAGATGTTCTAATAGAACAGCGTTTTAACAAATTGTTGGCGGTAGCCTTCCTAACAATAGCAAGATAGTCACACTTCTACATTGCTTGCAGTTAGCATTTTTAGCTACTGTACAGTAACTTGATAGTAAAACAGTTTCCTGTCCTGAGTTTGCTTACACACAACTATATAAACATAAATGCCTAGATACAGTTACAGATTTATAGGATACTAGGATAACTTCAGTTGGAAAGAAGCTCATAAGGCCTGTTGTTGCTTGATCATCCTTCTGCCAAATGTGAGGCTTGGACAAGAGACTTTAGGTTGCAGTTTTGGCAAAAACCTGTACCAAAACTTTATCTAGTTTGTTGTTTTTTTTGGTTTGGTCTTTTTTTTTACTGTACAGTTTCTTGTTGCAAAGATTAAATGAAATGGGCACACACCTAACACCACTATTATTTCCCTCAGTCAAATTATAGAACTGACTTTTAGATGCTCTGCTTTGTTGAAGGCTATCAGATCCATATCCCAGATGATTCCACAGCTGCTTGCCTTCTGCTTTCAAAGGATTTGGGTTTTGTCTCCATAGCAAGCTACGTAGATACGGGTGTATTATCACTGTTGTATTTGGGAAGGTATATGTCTGCATTTCCATGTGGTTGTTTCCAGGTGTTAAGTACTGTAACTATTAAGTGAAGTTTCAACAGATTCCTTAACTGCAAAGGTATATAAATGTACAGTCAGGATGCTGAAGAGTAATCCATGCATTCCAGCAATTTTGAGATCTTTTGACAATTATTTTACTACCTGATCCTTACCAGAAAACATACACTTTGTATCTCCAAATTGTGTCTGTAACCAAGGGTCTTTATATCCAGCAAAGCAGGTTTGCTTTGTAGCTGTTACAATAATATGCACTCAGATTTCTGTGTTTTCTAGATTCAGTAAATCACCCTCAAAGGGATTTGATTTTAAAAGCTGATTTGGTTTCCTCCTGAATCGTCAGTAGCAGCAGCATTGGGAATCAAAGAATCAGAGAATAACAAGGGTTGGAAAGGACCTTAAGATCATCTAGTTCCAACTCCCCTGCCATGGGCAGGGACACCTCACACTAAATCATGTCACCCAAGGCTCTGTCCAGCCTGGTCTTGAACACCGCGAGGGATGGAGCATTCACAGCTTCCTTGGGCACCCAATTCCAGTGCCTCACCACCCTGACAGGAAAGAATTTCCTCCTTATATCCAATCTAAACTTCCCCTGTTGAAGTTTTACCGTTACCCCTTGTGCTATCACTACAGTCCCTAATGAAGAGTCCCTCCCCAGCATCCCTATAGACCCCCTTCAGAAGCTGGCAGGTTGCTATGAGGTCTTCACACACCCTTCTCTTCTCCAGGCTGAACAGCCCCAACTTTCTCAGCCTGTCTTCATATGGGAGGTGCTCCAGTCCCCTGATCATCCTCGTGGGCCTTCTCTGGACTTGTTCCAACAGTTCCATGTCCTTTTTAAGTTGAGGACACCAGAATTGCACACAATACTCCAAGTGAGGTCTCACAAGAGCAGAGTAGACGGGCAGATACCTGCTTTGACCTGCTGGTCATGCTCCTTTTGATGCAGCCCAGGATACAGTTGGCTTTCTGGGCTGCAAGTGCACACTGAAGCTGGCTCATGTTCATTTTCTCATCAACCAACACCCCCCCAAGTCCTTCTCCACAGGGCTGCTCTGAATCTCTTCCCTGCCCAACCTGTAGCTGTGCCTGGGGTTGCTCCGACCCAGGTGTAGGACCTTGCACTTGGCATGGTTAAACTTCATGAGGTTGGCATCAGCCCACCTCACAAGTGTGTCAAGGTCCCTCTGGATGGCATTCCTTCCCTCCAGCGTATCAACCGAACCACACAGCTTGGTGTCATCAGCAAACTTGCTGAGGGCGCACTCAATCTCACTGTCCATGTCAGCGACAAAGATGTTGAACAAGACTGGTTCCAACACCGATCCCTGAGGGACGCCACTTGTTACTGGTCTCCAGATGGACATTGAGCCATTGACCACAACTCTTTGTGTGTGGCCATCCAGCCAGTTCTTTATCCACCGAGTGGTCCATCCATCAAATTGATGTCTCTCCAATTTAGAGACAAGGATGTCATGCGGGACAGTGTCGAATGCTTTGTAAATCTCTTTGTGATATCTGGTTTCAGAGAAAATTAAAAGGTGTGGGGATTTTGTCTTATTTTTCTGGAAACTTGGTGGTTATCAGTTACAAAGTCTTCTAATTCTAGAGTTGTGAGGAGTGAAACTACTTTAGCTTGGTCCCATTTTCATTTCATTTCTACTGTGGTAGCCTGAAAGATTAGTTTTGTTTCTGGCCCATACTGATCATACTCTATATGGAGCCAACAAGTGGACATTCCAGTTCTGATCTTGTTACCCAGCAGGGACTCTATTCTTCCCTTCAGTTATTACAAATACTTCATATCTGTTTAACTTCTGTCAGCCTGATTTCCACACTCCTGGCCCCTTCTATATGCTTTAGCCTTTCCTGCTCACACTCTTCCTATTCTCCATTCTGTAATACCCTATTTATTCTTTAGTGCTCCTTTTTGTGTTGTAAAAAACTACTGCAGTGCTGTTACCATAATGAGTATAAGAAACCTGGGGAACACTCACAGGAGAAATTTGTCTCTTCGTTAACTTTTCTGCACTTTTCCTTTTTTAGGAGACTTGAGGTCTAGGGAGAGCGTTTGAGCTACAGACCATAGCAGAGTTTGCAGTTTACAGATGTGCAGGGCTGTGGTTCTGGACACAGGCTGCATGGTGCAGGTTTGCCCTCACTCAGCGCTGTCATCTTAAGCCCATTCTTGCAGTTGCTCAGCATGGTCACTCTCAGTTTGGTATGTTATACTTAAAGCACAGCTGGTGTTTTGCTGATCCCCTCAGGAAATCTTTCCATGCAGGTGTTCCACTTAATACACCAAGCATTATTTTCTTTGAGATATTAAGGATGCACTTTTTGAATATGCTTTTGTTGAAAAAGATAAGAGTCTAATGATAGTCAAAGGATGAATTCATTGTTTCTTTCATCAGAACCATCTAAAGGACCACCCATATGGAGGATCATTGATGTATCTCACTCACCACCTTCCTGGACTGTACATCTGATGTGGAAGGTAAAGCAACATGACAAACTGCAGGAATGGAGTGGTCTTGTAAAAACATGAGGTTTTAAGTGTCAAAATTTACTTCAGCAAGCTTGGGTAGAAAGCTGGAATAGTATGGGTTTTATCAGCATGAGAAGTGCCCTTGGTATTCTTACTATATTTAGTTGTGGAATAATTTAAAAGCACAGCTGTAAAGGCCATCAGTTAACTGATAAATATCTGTGATGCAGAGTATACAGAACCCACTTTCAGATTCCTGACTTGTTGTCCTTAAGCAGTCAGTGGAATTGGAAACTTTCTCTTGAACAAAGTAAGACTTCATGTTATGCCTTCTGCTGTATTCTAAAACTTTCGTAACACTGTCTGGACAGGGATAGTTCACCTGCAAAATCCATTAAGCCTAGGCAGATTCCAGAGGCCCAGCTTATTAAATAGAGCACTGCACATTTGCTGTGTCTAGTTGGCTGATTAATTCAGCTGAGAAAGCAAACGCAGTTATGGTTGGTCCCCATCTAAAGCTTTGTTTTGATACTTGAACTTCATTACATTTGATCAGCTGTCTGTTATTACTAGGTGGTTTGCGTGAAGTTCCACGTATATTGATATGGCATCATTTTCTGATGGAGTTCTTATGCCGCTTGCCACTTCTGACATTATTTTGCTTAAAATTGGAAAACTGGAGCTACTTCAGAGTTTCAGAAATTTTCTTTTAAGTTATCTGAAGACTAACACTGTTACACAGAAACTATTATTAACACAAAAGTATTTTTCTACATTAGAAGATGACTACTCAGACTGGTTTGCATTAGAATTTAACACAGCTTAAGATGTAAGATTTCTTTAATGTCGTGTGTGGTAAGGTCACATAAAATGCAGATTTTAGCAATACATGTTCTGCAGTCTTTACTAAATAACTTTTATTAAACTGCAGGGTATTTTACAGGTAAGTTTACAGGTAGTTTTACAGATAAGCCAAGAAAAATAGGATTTAAATCTGAAATAATTTCAGAAGTTAATGCTTTCCAGAAATGAATGCAGGTTATTTGTGCTTTCCTTAAACACACAGCTGTTCAATCCATGTAGCTTGTCTTGCTCTCAGATTTTTAAATTACACATTAAAGACAATAAAGGTTAAGTTGCATTTGTACAGTGTCATTATAATCAAAGATGTGTTTCTAAACAGGCATTGAAGCCATTTGAAGCCAATGGAGTAATCTTCCAGTATGAAGTGACTGTCAGAGCCAAGTCATCTCTCTCCAGTCCACCAGAGAAATACAGTGTTAATACCACTGACCTTACATTAAAGATACCAAATGGAACTTACGAAGTGACAGTGGTTGCCCATAACAGAGCCGGGGCATCCCCTCCATCGGTTTTACTTATCCCAGCCAGTAATTCAAAAGGTTAGTGCCTAGTAATGTCTCTTTCAAATGCATCTGCATGGCTTCTGATTTAAGAAGTCTTCAGTGTTGTAAAATGATACCTTTAATATGGACACATAATTAAAGTATTACTGAATGTATCTACTGTCATATGCCTTATAATTATGCTACCATTTATATACCAGGGAATGTGTGGATTTTTATACTTGCAGCTTCATTTGAAGCTGTGTGTGCTATTTTGCTGTTGGTTTTGATCTCTAGACCTACCACGTACTATATTCCCTGTAGTTTTTCGTAGCATAGCAGGCATTTTTGTTTGTTTTTTTTTTTTAAATCAACAGGTTGGGGAAGAAAGCATCCTATAGTTCCTGTATATACCATCTCACCGTTGTTCTGCTTTCTGATCTCCCCTCAGCCCTTCATTTTCTCTTTCCAGTCTCACTCTCCCACATTTTCAGTATCTTGTCATCTCCTTCCACTGTTTCCCTACTGCTCAAATTTCTTTTTACTCTGTTCCTTTCATCATCTAGTAGTAGTAACTACAGGCTGGTTTCTCCTTACTTCCAGCCTCCTTTTAGGTAATCTGAACACTACCAGGATAGGAAGCAAAGAAACAAGAATATAGGCAGATGATGCTTTTAGCCTAAACACCAAAGGAGGGCCACAGGTTCTAAAACTATTAGGTGAACAAATTAAGGGTGTGTTTCAAGCAGTAGTATTGCAGATAGAAGTATTTTGTAAGATACGTGTATTAGAAGGTAAGTATTAGAATGGGAATTCAGAAGTGTCTCAAAGTTTGATATCTCTCTGAAATAAACCCTGTGTTTTGAAAGAAACAGTATTTTTACTGTGCAGTAAGGTAGCCTGCTGTGTTTGAGAACAGAGAAGCTGAGTAATTTCCAGTTCCTAAATAGCCTTACTCTGTATTTCAGAAAATGGCTTTTACGTTTACTTAGGTTCTGTCAAATTGTCACCATTACAATAACCCAAAATCATCCACGTTTGACAAAATATCTATCATTATGAATATATAGTGGAAGAACTGTCAGTACATATAACCTCTCTGTTTTCTTTCATCACAGCTCCTGTGAAGAATGTTAGAACACTGCCTAAAGATGGCAAATTGTGGGTAGGGTGGACTGCTCCTGACAGTTATGTTCTTAAATATGTGATTGAATGGTGTCTGGTGTCTAACAGCTCAGACTGCATTATAGAATGGCAAAATGAACCAGGAAATGTTCAAGGAACATACTTAAAAGGTATTTAGCTTGTAAATCTACAAATGCGTTGTAAAACACTCTCTAAGCCTAGCAAGTATTCTTGAAGTGAGGAAAATTCTTATACTTACTAGAATTTTATTGTGAGACAGGAATCTGGGATTTTGCTGAGGGCTTCTGTTAGCTTATGATGAGTATAGAAGTATCTGTGTGTTTTTGTCAAATACAATTTTATCTGCTCTTTAATGTTGAAATTTGGTTTATCTGCATTTTTGTTTTAGTCTTCTCATTCTTGGAAATCATTAAAGAAGTGAAAAGGTTGAGTTCCTTCAAAATCAAATTATCTGCTCCCTCTTGCAGTTCAAACAATGAAACTTCATCAGCTTTACAGTTCTTTTCAGATTGTGATCAGTATCTCAACTCAGTAATTTAGTAGTTCAGTGCTGCAGACAGATAAAGGCTTTTTATTTAAAATAAATGGAAAAAAAAAAAACAACAAAAGAGCACAAACTTCTATGAAGTCTGTTTATTAAATTTAGCATTTCAGTGTGAACTATTATATTAATCCATCAGTTACTATTTTGGAGTTAATAATATAGGCAAAACCCAGAACCATATATCTGAAGAAAACAAGAAAGATGGTGAGGAATTTGACTGTCTGAAACTACACGTTTTTTAATATCTTTTTTTAGGTGATATAAAGCCTTTCAAGTGTTACTTGATAACTGTGTACCCTCTATATGCTGATGGTCAGGGAAGCGGGCAGTCTGTGAAAGCTTATCTTCGGCAGGATCGTAAGTACAAAACAGTCGTCTTGGAGCATGTAAACTGACTTTTTTGACTAAAAATAATGAGACCTTTAATAAGGGCTACATAATGAAAAGCAGTCCTACATTTGAGGGTCGTTTGTTATAATTGATCTTGTCCCTTTGATTCATGTCCACTGTGCTTATTTACAGTATTTAGGAGTTAAACAGATGGCTGTGGCTGACTCTTTCCCTTTTTCCAACCTTTATCAGATAATTTGGCATGAGTATATTATTGTATTGATATAGTAATATTTATATGCTATTGTATTTTCAAATTCAGGTATCAAGCCAAGACTAATTACCTTCAATTGAAGATTTCATGTGATGTGCTGATATTGTTTTTCACATCTTTTTCTTCCTGGAGGTTTCTCTTCCAAAACATCTTTGGAACAAAACATCTCTCTGTGTTGTCTGAAACTAATGCTTTGCAGTTGTGTTAGTCCAGCCATTCCATTGAAGTTTTTACACAGTATCAATTCAGTATAATAATTAATACACTGTTTCTGTGGATGCAGGGGTGCACAACAGAAACTAATCTTCATCTCCCATTGCAGGTCCTTCTAAAGGACCAACCGTTCAGACAAAAAAAGTAGGAAAAGCTGAAGCTGTTTTGACATGGAACCATCTCACAGTGGATGAACAAAATGGATTTATCAGGAGTTATATCATATTTTACAAAACTATAGATGGAAATGAAACAGGTAACAAAAAGCAGAGAAGTACTCTGTGGCATTGAAGTATTCCATCTGTCTCCTTCCTAATTCATGTTCCTAATTCATGTTCCTGAAAAAAAGAGGTACAGAATCAAGTGTGGCTGAGAGCTAGTTGTGATGACATAAAGCTGATCTCTGAGGCATCTGTACCAAACAGAAAAGTCCCTATTAAAGTATTCAAAACATTCAGTCTGTGTATAGAAGGGTAGTGAGTTTAGTTGCTGAAAGCTGATTTGCTCCCATCTTTCTGTCTAAATAAAGGATGAGATGTTGATGTAGCAAGGTAAAGCTGGACCGTTCAAGATGTAGAGAAGTTGACTGCATTCAAATAGGATAAAGCCTTAAAAAAGGGGGAGGTATTTTTAATCCTCCTCAAGCCCTAGGTCAGTACAATATTACTGATGTAAAACATCTTGTTTGAAGTGCATTTTTGTTCTCAGTAGTGTGTATGACCAGTAGGCATAAGACAGGGGGTTAGCACTATCAAAATCTTTTAATTTTTAGATTTGCTTAAATTGCAAGGGCCAGTTACTTACGCCTACTCTGCTGCTTGCTAACAGTGGTTTTCTGATTATCAACTGGCTATTTCTAGTTAGCTGTATGTTCTGCTTATTAGAAACTTTTTAAGCTTCAACATTACTACTGGTTTTGTTTTGTAGCTACATTGGGGGGTGGGAAGGGGGAACAAAAAAAAAAACAAATCTGCAAGAAATTAACACATAAAATAACATCAAGAAGGAGACTAAATTCAGACACTTGAACAGAAACAAATATATCTCAGCATTTCTTATACAAGCCTGTAGTCTTTCTGTGTTTGTTGTATTTTCCATACAGCCATTCATTCTGCTAAAGCTAGGACCATGTTACTGTGTTTGTGGAGATCTAATCCATTGTGCAGAAAACTAGTATAATTTTTTTTTCCTTTGTTTAGCCGTGACGGTGGATCCTTCCAAGACAGAGTATACCCTTTCTTCTCTAGCCAGTGACACACTGTATACTGTGCGGATGATGGCGTACACGGATGAAGGAGGCAGGAGTGGTCCTGATTTTACATTTACTACACAAAAATTTGGTAAGGAAAAGCAGCACAATTATAGGTAGGAAGTGATGTTGCAACACTATAGCAAGGTTCTGTGCAAGACATGATAGGAGGGGAAGGTGACTTTATTAAAGAAAACATTTCAGTCAAAGTCATACACACTAGCTGTATGATATCCAGGTAGCCTGGATAGGCTACCTAGATAGTACTCGATCACAAAGAGATAGTTTAGTCACTGTTATTCCAACTGTAGAGAGGACAGTATCGTGGATTTCTCTTTTATGTTGGTAAACACTGTTTTGGGAGTGGTTTATGTATACTTGGGGTTATACTATTATTTTGTCCCAGCTCTGTGTGAGCCATTAGGATTTACTCTGTACCCTTGTCTTCTGTTCTGGTGTGTGATGGCTCCTACCCTGGTCTTAGGAGTCCATAATTTTTGTTATAATCTCAAGGTAGGTTGGCTTTTGGTTATCCTGACATGGGTGTCCTGAGAAGCTGCAGAGACTTACTGGGATCTTGATTTGCTAATCTAGGTACCAGTCAGTACCTGCCATTCTTGCAACCCTTCATCAGGTTCCACATTCTCATTCATATCACTATTAAAGTTTGTTACAGTTCTCTACAGAGACTCATTTTGAAGAGTGACATTTATTGTATGTTCAGCTCTAGAGAGTGCTTCGTATTTGTAATAGTAACAGCAACAATGTTAACTTAGTTAGAATCATAGAATCATAGAATAGTTAGGGTTGGAAAGGACTTTAAGATCATCTAGTTCCAACCCCCCTGCCATGGGCAGGGACACCTTACGCTAAATCATATCCCCCAAGGCTTCGTCCAACCTGGTCTTGAACACAGCCAGGGATGGAGCATTCACAACCTCCCTGGGCAACCTATTCCAGTGCCTCACCACCCTAACAGGAAAGAATTTCCTCCTTATATCCAATCTAAACTTCCCCTGTTTAAGTTTTAACCCATTACCCCTTGTCCTATCACTACAGTCCCTAATGAAGAGTCCCTCCCCAGCATCCCTACAGGCCCCCTTCAGATACTGGAAGGCTGCTATGAGATCTCCATGCAGCCTTCTCTTCTCCAGGCTGAACAGCCCCAACTTTCTCAGCCTGTCTTCATACAGGAGGTGCTCCAGTCCCCTGATCATCCTCGTAGCCCTCCTCTGGACTTGTTCCAACAGTTCCGTGTCCTTTTTAAGTTGAGGACACCAGAACTGCACACAATACTCCAGGTGAGGTCTCACGAGAGCAGAGTAAAGGGGCAGGACCACCTCCTTGAACCTGCTGGTCATGCTCCTTTTGATGCAGCCCAGGATACAGTTGGCTTTCTGGGCTGCGAGTGCGCACTGCCACCTCATGTTCATTTCCTCATCAGCCAACACTCCCAAGTCCTTCTCCGCAGGGCTGCTCTGAATCTCTTCTTTGCCCAGCCTGTAGCTGTGCCTGGGATTGCTCCGACCCAGGTGTAGGACCTTGCACTTGGCATGGTTAAACTTCATGAGGTTGGCATCAGCCCACCTCACAAGCGTGTCAAGGTCCCTCTGGATGGCATTCCTTCCCTCCAGCGTATCAACCGAACCACACAGCTTGGTGTCATCGGCAAACTTGCTGAGGGCGCACTCAATCCCACTGTCCATGTCACCGACAAAGATGTTGAACAAGACCGGTCCCAACACCGATCCCTGAGGGACGCCACTTGTTACTGGTCTCCAGCTGGACATTGAGCCATTGACCACAACTCTCTGTGTGCAGCCATCCAGCCAGTTCTTTATCCACCGAGTGGTCCATCCATCAAATTGATGTCTCTCCAATTTAGAGACAAGGATGCCGTGTGGGACAGTGTCGAACGCTTTGCACAAGTCCAGGTAGATCACATCAACTGCTCTGCCCCTGTCCATCAGTTCCGTAGCCCCATGAGAGAAGGCCACCAAATTGGTCAGGCAGGATTTCCCCTTAGTGAAGCCATGCTGGCTGTCACCAAGCCCCTTGTTGTTTTTCATGTGCCTTAGCATGCCTTCCAGGAGAATCTGCTCCAAGATTTTGGCAGGCACAGAGGTGAGACTGACTGGTCTGTAATTCCCCAGGTCATCCGTTTTCCCCTTCTTGAAAATGGGGGTTATATTTCCCTTTTTCCAGTCGTCGGGAACTTCACCTGACTGCCATGATTTCTCAAATATGACGGCCAGTGGCTTAGCAGCTTCATTCACCATCTCCTTCAGGATCCGCGGACTGATCCCATCAGGTCCCATGGACTTGTGCACATTCAGATTTTTAAGATGGTATCAAACCAGTTCCTCTCCTGCAGTGGGTGCAAGGTCTTCATTCTCACAGTCCCTGCATCTGCCTTCCAAGACTTGGGTGGTTTGGGCAGAGCCTTTGCCAGTGAAGACCGAGGCAAAGAAGTCATTCAGAACCTCAGCCTTCTCCAAATCCTGTGTAGCCAGTTCTCCCGAGAGCTTCCTGAGGGGGCCTGTTTTCTCCCTAGTCTGTTTTTTATTTGCTACATACCTCTAGAATCCCTTCCTGTTATCCTCAATATCCCTAGCCAAGTTTCATTCTAACTGGGCTTTAGCTTTCCTAACCTGGTCCATGGCTTTCCGGACAACATCCCTGTACTCTTCCCAGGCCGCCTGTCCTTGCTTTCACTTTTTGTAAATGTCTTTTTTCATTTGAATTTTCCTCAGGAGCTCCTTATCCACCCAAGGAGGTCTCCTGGCCCTCCTGCTGCACTTCCTTCTAGCTGGGATGCAACACTCCTGAGCTTGTAGCAGGTGATCCTTGAATATCAACCAACAGTCTTGGGTCCCCCTGCCCTCTAGGGCTGTATCCCATGGAACCTTACTAAGCAGGTTCCTGAAGAGGCCAAAGTCTGCTCTCCTGAAGTCCAGGGCAGTGAGCTTGCTGCACGCTCTTCTCACTCTCCTGAGGATCTCAGATTCGACCATCTTGTGATCGCTGTATCCAAGGCTGCCCTGGAGAGTCACATTTCCAAGGAGCCCTTCCCTGTTGGTGAGCACGAGGTCAAGCATGGCACCTCTCCTTGTCGGCTCCTCTATTACTTGCAGAAGGAAGTTGACTTCCACACAATCAAGGAACCTCCTGGATTGCTTGTGCCGGGCCGTACCGTCCTTCCAACAGATGTCAGGGTGGTTGAAGTCACCCATGAGAACAAGGGCCTGCGAGCATGAGGCTTTTCCTGTCTGTCTATAGGTACTTCATCCGCAGGTTCTCCTTGATCAGGCGGTCTGTAACATCCCCACAGTAATGTCTCCCGTAGCTATATTCCCTTTAACCCTGACCCACAAACTCTCTGTGGACTGCTCACCTGTCCCCAGACAGTTCCATACTCTCCAGCCTAACATAAAGGGCAGCCCCCCCTCCCCGCCTGCCAGGCCTGTCTTTCCTAAAGAGCCTGTAACCTTCCCTTCCAACACTCCAGTCATAGGAGCCATTCCACCATGTTTCTGCGATGCCTCTTATATCATACCCCCGTAGACGTGCACACATCTCTAATTCCTCTTGTTTGTTCCCCATGCTACGGGCATTTGTATAGAGTCATCTGAGCCGAGCTCCAACTGAAGCCGGCTCATTGGCTGGAGCGGGTGGAATATCTCTACATTGCTCCGAGCATTTATTATAGGTTCTGGCAACTGACTGGGTGTGTTGGGATGGAATGATGCCCCCCTCCCCCATGACACCTAGTTTAAAGCCTCCTTGACCAGCCTGGCAAGCCTCCTACCAAAACTGCTCTTTCCCTTCTTTATCAGACCAGCTTCACCAGCCTCCACTAGACCTGGCCTACAAGCGTGGGTCCCGTGTTCAAGACACCCAAACCCCTGACTATGGCACCACCCTTTTAACCAGTTATTAACCTGGCCAATCCTCCTAGCTTTTTTTAGGCCCTCCCCTGTACCCTGGAGAATTGATGAAAAGACCACCTGAGCTCCAGAGCCCCTAACCACCTCCCCCAGGGCTCTGTAGTCCTTCTTTATGTTCCCCAGGCTACTACTATCTATATCCCTAGCACCTACATGTATCACCGGGAGTGGGTAATAGTCCGTGGGACTTACTAGAGCAGGCAGCCTCCATGCCACATCCCTGATCCATGCCCCTGGTAGGCAACACACCTCCCTTGAGACAGGCTCTGGCCGGCAGACAAGTGCTTCTGTCCCTTTCAGTGTAGAGTCCCCTACTACTACGACCCGCCACTTTTTCCTGGCAGCACCAGTAGAGATGTTTTTTACCAGTGCATCAGCCTGACTGTTTCTGGCGTGAGTGTGTTGTGGAAAGCACTTCTTTAGATACGGCAGGTTTTAATGTTCTTTTTCTGTATGGTGTTTTTTTTCCCTGAGCGTTCTGTAACTCAGTGTCTGTAACACTGGAAGGAATACATAACAATAGTGCAGCTTATGTGTTTGCAGTTAGAAGATATTTTCCTGTACAGAATAAACTGATGGATGACTAGTGATTTTGCTTACATTACTTACTGGCCCATGGTGATGTTATGGCAGCCATAAAGCCACTGAAACACCTGGACCACAAATGAGTTCACATAGATGTTCCTGTCATATCTGCCCAAACTGTAAATTTACTTGGTTCATCAGTATTATAACTTCTAGAGCAACCTGGGGTTTTTTGTTGATGCAAGGCATTAGATTGGTGGGACAGAGCTTTTTGTGTTTTCACTTACAGGCTCTTTTCATATGGTGGGAAGGTTCTTCTGAAGGTGAATCTTAAGACTGAGTGCTGCTGGTGTATTCAGTTTCAGATTCTCCCTGTCCCTTCAGAAATGTATGCTGCTGCTGAGTTCCTTAAATGTCAAAGTGAGCTATAACTGCTTCTCTTCATTTCCTTCAGGGAAAGGAGAGATTGAAGCCATAGTTGTACCTGTGTGTCTAGCTTTCCTGTTGATTGTGCTCCTTGGAGTTCTGTTTTGCTTCAACAAACGGGACTTGTAAGTCTAATGAAATCTTTTTCATACATTTCTGATATTTCTGGGAATAACAGATGGTAATAATTCAACACAAGTAAATATTCTGCAGCTAGATCAGAAAAAGAAGGTAAAACACACATATATTCACTAATGATAAACATTTTTTCCCTTGGGAAGTTTGCCTTTTCTGATACTAATTTCTTACTGCTAAGGATCAGCACACAACCTAAATGTTCCATGACTCAATCCTGCGTGGAAATTGCTGCTTTTCTTGCTAGAGTTGGTGAGGATTATGTTTGTTAAGTTGTGATCATGACATCTTCTGTGTTGTTTTCTTAGTCATCATGTCAGAGTGGAATGATAGTGCTTAGTTTGTGAAGCACAGATGATCTGTTTGCTGGCTATATTTGAGCTATTTAATTACAGTGTTAGCAAACCTTAAGCTTGACAGCCAAAAAAATCAGGCAGGCATCTTACTTAACTACCTTGCATAACCTCAGTCAAACTCTGTGCCTGTTTACTGTCAGCTGGGAAACATCCTCTTTCCTCCTGCTCCCTCTGCCTACCACAGAGCTCTTGCGTGTGGCTTTAACTGAGTGCTTATTGCTGAAGTCTTTTCTCTGGCAAGGAGTACACATATCCCATGTCCTCAGTCAACTATCTTTTCTTTCTAATCAAAGACAGCATTTTGTGCCCTTTTCTTTCTGTCCTCCCTGCTGTTCCTAAAATCTGTTCTTAGTGGATGTCAATTGCAAGGCCCATCTTGCAGTTTTCTTCAGAGTGTCTGTTGTTGCACCTCGTCTAAAGAGTGGGATAGGTGCATCGGTTTCAAAATTAGTTTGTTTGGAAGTGAATTATCTATAGAAACATCTATTTTTACTATATCTATTTTTCCACTACATTCTTAAACTTGAGAGTTGAGTTACAAACGACCAGGAAAGTTTTTCTTCAGATATTCTCACTTTATTTTTAGCTGTGAAGATGGCTTAGATTGACAGCTGTGATATCTGTATCTTAAAGAAGATACTGACATGCGTCACAGACTTTAAGCAAATAAGTGCTCTGTAGATTCTAGAGTGCTGTAAATTTTAAAATCCCTCACTAACTCATTACTGTCTGTTGGTTTGCCTTGTGTTGGATGGCTACATCAAATGTGTAGAGCAGTTACAAGTGTAGTGCTGTGTTCTGCTAAGTAGTACAGCTTTCTAAGGAGATGTAAAGTAGTCCAGGAAGCATTCCTATTTGGAAATAAATACTCCTGCAAAATTCCTATGTAAAGGAGTATTGTCCTGGATTATGCAGTACTTGCCACTAACATAGGAATTTGCGAACTGCATCTTGTAATTCTATTCTGGTTTTAATCCTTTACAGAATTAAAAAGCATATCTGGCCTATTGTCCCTGATCCATCCAAAAGTAACATTGCTCAGTGGTCTCCTCAAGTTCCAGCTAAGGTAATACTCATCTTTCTGCATCCCCTACCTTCCTAGTCCATAAGGTTTCAAATAAACTAACCAGTGGAAGTCTTCTGTCTTCTAGCACATGTGGATTTCAAGGAAAAAAAACCCTGAATATTAAGTTTTATGACGTTGTGGTATAATATGGTTATAAGACTTTTTTGCATTAAGAGAGTCAGAAATATGTGACCCTTAGCACAAGTTCACAGTGTATAGCAGGCTTTAACATTGTGAATTGTATTCAGTTTAGTAGTTGAAAGGGTCAAGTCCTGATTACTGTACTCATTCATGGAAAATCAGGATTAAGTAAATGGAACTCATGATTCCCATTCTTAAAACCCTCAAGTGTGACTTGTTTGCACAGTTAAATCATGAATGAGAGAGAAAGCTTTAAGTTACTCATGCATGACAAGGTGGCAGTAAAATTTATGCCCTGTGGGGGGTGAATGACGTAGCAAATTCTGTACAATAAACTGACTAACTTCTGTGAAGAATAGCCATCACGTTGAATGCATTATTAGAAACAAGGTAAGTATGAGTCTCAATATAGAATATTCCTGTGCTGCAGAACAAATGGTTCTATGTTTATGGCTCTTAAGAATAATTAAAATTAGAGCAAAGTTTGCACACCAACTGTGCTTTCAGAATAGTTTTGTAAGTAAGGCTTTGTATTGGAAACAAAGCTACATCCTTCATAACAGATAATTTGGAAATACTGCCAAACTTAGTAAGGAAAAACTTAAGAAACTTGAAAAAAATATGGACTAAAAATTCAGGTATTTAATGTTTTTTATTTTGAACACAACCTTCCTCTTAGGCAACATCCATCTCTCTCTTTCAGCATAACTTTAGTTCCAAAGATCAGATGTATCCAGAAGGTAGCTTCACAGATGTAAGCGTCGTAGAAATAGAAGCTGATGACAAGAAGTCTTTTTCAGAACAAGATCTAAAACCCTTTGACTTACTTAAAAAGGAAAAAAGTACTTCAGAAGGGCACAGCAGTGGTATTGGAGGGTCCTCATGCATGTCTTCTCCTAGGCAAAGTGTCTCTGACAGTGACGAAGGTGAAACTGCACAAAACACTTCAAGCACTGTACAGTATTCAACTGTAGTACTTAACGGTTACAGAGACCAAACACCTGTGCAAGTCTTTTCAAGGTCTGAGTCGACTCAGCCACTGCTAGATTCAGAAGAGAGATCGGAGGATCACACTGGAGGAGGTGACAGTGCAACACAGAGGCAGCAGTATTTCAAACAAAATGGTGTTCAGGATGAAACCAGCACAGACAGGCCATGCTTTGAAAGAATGAAGCAAATCACTTCTGCAAATGAGGGGGATATTGTTGGATTTGCACAACTGCAGATCTCAGGTCAGAGTTCACAGCTATTGGGCCTTGGGCTGGAAAAAAATACCCAGGAAGCTGCTGTATCAGATGCTTTACAGGCAAGTACTGAAGGACAAAATGTGGTACCTGAAATAGTGGAAGGAAATCTACCACCAGTTGATGAAATGCCAAAAAGTTACCTCCCACAGACTGTGAGACAAGGGGGCTATATGCCACAGTGAGAGAAGAGACTGGCTCTGTTTTAGGCCTTCATTAGTGCCTGTTCACACTTTCTCCTGTGTTTCTGATAAATTAAGCTAGGTATTTTTATCTCAATGAAGATGGAAATACTGAAATTAAGTGAAGAGTAATATGACAAAGTACAATAAGGACTGTTTTTGCGGAAGATTTGCAGTCCAGACCTACTGAAGACTTAACTTTTATGCACTACGTAAAATCTTCTGTCTGGATAGCTGAATAAGCCTTTGTGCTACCTTGGGGATTTTGCATCTTATCAGATTTACACATGATTGAAAATGGCAAGTTTCAATTAATCATATCAGCCAATAGACCTTCTAGAAGAAATACTTCAATTTGTGACCATGTACAAGCCTAAAAAGCCAGCTTTAGTTGCTTGGAGCATCTTTGTGCAAAAGTAAGACTGAAGCTTAGTATTCTAATGTCAAAGAATACTTGTCATACGCTTTCAGTACCTTGATTGACTTTCTGAATTTTTACTTGACCCAGTGTCTGTTTCCCATTTACCAGACATGCAAATCATGTCCATCCCCACTTAAAAATTAGAACAATTAAATAGAACTTGCTATGGTGTGCAAATAGGAAAACACCACAATTGCTTGATTCTGAATGCTACTATAGCAGTTGATATTCTGCCTACATTTAGATATGCATGCAGATGAACTCTATACTGATTTGGCCTAAAAATGTGCCTTGCAACTTGACGCACAGTAATTCAGTCTTGTATTCAGAAGTTTAAAAATCCAGATGAAAACACTAATTAACAGTTACTTGGAGGTTTTCTACCCAAATCACTGTCAGATTATACGATAGCCCTGTTGTCATATAAATTGCCTCTGTTTATTACGTGCACCTTTGTTGATTATAGCTTGCGAAGCAAGTAACAAGCTGTAAGTTTTTACCATTTTTCTAATTGCTCTCTAGCAGCAATCTTGAGCCACACCACTTACGTGGTTGTTAAAATTCTTTATTCTTATTCTCACTTTTACCCTTTTTCATACAGTTCACATTTTTTTGAAGATGCATTTCTTGGAGACTGTCTCTACTAGGGGTTAAGGAAAAATGAAATTATATTAAAATAAACCCCTTCTCCAATGATAACTAGGAATTTTATGGCACTCTTGCATTTTTTTTTTTAACCTTAACTTAGTCTAGTCAGCTTTCTAATCTGACACTAATAAAACCTTAATTGAAAACACTAAATGCTGTGTTGTGAGATTAAAACAAGGATTTTGGTTCTCCTTCACAAAAGAACTATGTATTTAAGACCACTTTTTGTTCCGTGACCTCTTGTGCTGCTGTTCTGCAAAGCAGTTGCTAAAGGCCCTGGAAAGGCAGGTGTCAGTTATCATTTCAACTTGCCTTGTCCTCATCTGCCAGCTTGCGTGGAAGGACAGGTGTACACATAAATGTTCACATATGACTTCTGCCTTTGTAATAAAAATTCAATGCTAAATTCCTGAGATTACCTCTTGAGGTCTGGACTATTTAAAACAGATAAAGGATGCAGAATTTTTTAATAGCATTTCAGTTATTCCACATTTCCTGTCTTGCAGTGGTATTTTTTTTTACCTGGGCACTTTTCTAAACTAAAAGGGTGTGTTGCAGCTTACTGTAACTACACCTTTCTTCACACCAGTCCCCTTCCTTTTCTCTCTACTCCACCACAGCACCTTCAAACTCTCTCCCAGAGAGCAAGGGCATAATGAGAACAGTGCTGTCACAAGACAGCAGAGACCATCTGTGAGGGTTTTTCAGAGACTGAAGGAGCATTCTTTTGTCAAAACACATTCCTCTTTGAAAATAGTAGCAGTTAGTTTACTGGGGGATGGGTTGTCTTCTCTATGCAAAGTTCATAGTGACTATAGAAACCACAAGTAAAAGGGGAAGTCTCTGTTGAACAGTGTGTGTGCCTGTTAGAACTGCCCTGCAGCCCTATGCATCTAATCCACCTCCTCGTCGCTGAGATATTGTGGGTCACAACCTGGCTGCTTAGTCTGAGCATTGCTTCAAAGATACTGGTGTCTTCAAAAACACACTGATGGCTTTTTTTTTTTTTTTTTAATTATGATACAGTGTTATTAACTTTTGATATTGTATGTTATATTTGAGGGGTAACTTCAGTTATTCCTGAAATTGCTGGTTTCCTTTCCATTGTATAAAGGGAAGGCATTTTGTTCTCAGTTGCTGTTACATGGGCCATTTCCAACATAAAACAACTAGTGTCAAGAGATTCTCATTTTTAAAGGTGTGTGCTAAAAAGAGTTCCAGCCTGTTACTTCGGGCATCCTTCTTTGTTATTTATGGGCCAGTCATATAATAACTCACAGAATTATATAGGAGTGTATCCCAGAAAGAATTCTGTCTGTCTGGCAGAAAGTTATATCTTTAAGGCTTCTGCATTTATCTAGGGGTAAAATGCTAAAGACTAAACAGGAGATGCTGGTGGGTGAATAGCTTGTTGAAGCCACAGTACAGGTTTACACGAATAACAGGTTTACCGCTTGTTTGTAAACTTATGTGCCAAATATTATATCATGCAGTATTCAGGGTTTAATTTGATTTTGTACTTTGGATTGTAACAATCTAATTGTATCGAACAGTTGCATACAGATTTTTAGAGAGTCTGTAATGTAATGATAGCAATCCACTTAAAGTCTCTGAACTTGGCTCTAACACAGTGACTAAAGAAAAAGATTTCTCCCCTCCCAGTAATTAGGGTGCACTTTACAAAATAAAGGCATTATTAAAATGAAATCACACTTCAGTATTGCCATTTCCATGTCCATCTTGATTTCCTGGACTGGAATTTTTCAGGTGGGGGTGAGAGAAGACCTTTTTACTTTGGTGGCAGGGAAAGCAGGCTAGTAGAAATAGTATTTTTCTTGTGTTAGCATGCCTGAAGCTTCTTTTAAGTGCAGGCTGGCTAACTGCTCCTCAGCTTGTAAGGCAGTGAATTTATTTATCTCAATAGTTCTGTGGTGGTGTTTCTTTTAGAACAGGAGGTTGTTTCTGGGGTGTGTTGGCTCACTTTCAGGACAGTTAACCTGGGAATATCCCCTTTCAGTGTACTAAAAGTCTTTGGACTGTTTCATATGCCTGACCATAGCGAAGTAAACTGCCTGCTAAGCCTTAAACTGGCAGCGCGAAGCACAGCAGAGCAAAAATTCTTCAGAACTTTGTTAAAGAAAAAAAAAAATCAAGTTTATTTCTTTAAAGCTTAATTCAAGATTGTTTGTAACAAGCATGTGCTGATTTATGCTGCAGCAGCCTAGCAAAATGTTTATCACCAGGACTGGAAAAAACCTTTGGCCCTGGAGGAGGAGGCAGTTTGTGTCTGAGGGCTGAGTCTGTTCCTGGGCCCTGGAGAAGCCTCTGGTGGGGTTTACAGCTTCAGCTTTGATTGTAAATGATGAGCAGCTCTGGATGGTTAAAACTTAAATGAGTGTGCCCAGTATGTGGGAATATCCATACTGATTTAACTGAAGTAATTGAACTTGTTTAATTAGTGCCAGGTCTTGAACATCCAAGACCCACATAAATACATGCTGCTATGGTATAGACTTCACAGTGGGATCTGAAACTCCAAAGACTGACAAAGTGTTAGTAGTCAGCACTGTATGAGGACATGCACATTTAAAATTGTAATTTATGCACATTAAGTGGGACTAAATATACTATCTTATTTTCCCAGAGACATTTGTTTCTTATTTGGATACATTCCTTTAACTATGTTAAGAAGTTCTTCTGACTGATGGATTGTAAATCTTCATTAATCCCTTGTAACCTCTGTTTGCTAGGATGGGTACATGTAGCCATTTTAAATTCCAAGAGTTGCTTTTAATGTTATTTGGAAGCAGTTTATAACAAAAATGTTGAGTCTTTTTTTTGCGCAGCCACTTGGGAATTACAGCCAATCACAGAGTCTTCAGCTTGGCTATTGACCCAGAAAATTGAAGTTAAGTGGAAGTGTAAGTGCAAAAGTCTGCAGAAGGGTAAAATTTAGTGTCTTGCATTGAATTCACAAATTTCCATTTCTTTTCCTTAGAATTGAAAGGATCTGCTAAGAAAGAAAAAAAAAAAAGAAAAAAAAAAAAAACCCTAAAATGCATTTGTGTGTTTAGTTTCACTTGTTGTTTCCTTTGTAATACTTGTGCAATCTGAGCCATTCCTGAAAATGAAAGCAGTGCTGACTTAATGCACAAGGGTGCATTTGTAAAATATAAAATTGACTGAGGGCCAAATGTCAACCACCGCCCACTTCCCCCCACTCTTAATTTTAGTGCAGAGAGAGGGTGGGCAGTCAGTGCCTCCCAGAATGTAGCCTTAGTCAGTACTTTTGTCTGTTTGCAAAGCCAACTTTGAAGGGGATATTTGCAGCAGAGTCGCAATACTCTGCAGAAGCACACTTCTGTAATAGATGAAAAACACCTATGGCACAACTGTCGACAGATGGCTGGAAAGCTCCATGTCCTCCTACTCAGACTGAAGCGTCTTCTGCACCCCGCACCAGCTGCTCTTCTCCGGCGGCTGCAGGCGAGGTAGATGAGCATTCTCTGCAGTGTTGAAACTAGCAACATCTATTGCTTTTCTTCACATCAAAGCACATTCACTATGGATCCAGTCAACTTACCATGTTTTTTTAACACGCCAGTCTTGTTTACAGTGTCACATTCAGACGGGCACTTTGATACAGCAAGAGGTTGTCTAGGACCCAGCTGCTTTTATTTGTGCTTAAGGAGACTGTCAGGGCTACTGGTAGTGAATATTGCTGTGCCGATATGTGCATCTAGGTGAGTGGAGGCATGGGACAGAGACAGACTGACAAGGAAAGTGCCTTGATGCTGGATTGGATGGCTAGTGAATGTAAACATTAAGTCAGATGTTACTTTGTACTTAAAGTAAGTATGGCTGATTAAGCTACTGGTAATTTGAATGCCAGCTTTAAAGGGCTTGCATACTCCTGCCTGAGGTTAAACTCATAAACTGCTGCGTAAGCTGTCTCTGCATGGAAATGTGTTTTTAATACCAGTACACTATGTTAATTCTTTTGCAAGCTGCATGTTTATTGTCATATAAAGTCTGCTTTCTACAATTTACGTTATGATCAGTTTTGAGTGTCTTTCTCTGTTACCCAGCTGTGCCTGAATGCTGCATTTGTCTAGGACATAATGTACAAAAAGAGACAAAAACAAAATTTCCTACATCCCTTGTGTGCTGGAGTCAGCGTTGTGTAAGGCTGACATAAGCAGTAACCACAGAAGGCAGAGTCTGGGCACTACCTGAATGTGTCCAAAAATCCCATTCTGAGGAACTCTGTGAGGAGCAGGGCATAATGGTGCCTGCTCCCTTGACTAATTTCAAGAAAGAAGTGACCTGGCTTCCTCTGGCATTGCCCTCAGCCGCACCCCGGTTTGGTTCTTCTGTGTCTAATGGGTGGGGGACCCTCACAGGCCCATCATGAACCCATATCTCAGTACTGAAAAGGCACAGTTGGAGCTTCAAAGCATGGTCACACCTGCAGAAGGTTTCAAGGATGGCACCTGAGGGAAGACAGCTTCTGCTTCCTGGCGGAAGTTCTGATCTGGCCCAGAAAGTGGAGGGAGGGAGATGCGTTAGACCAAGTGTCACCTCCAGCACCAAAAATTGTTCCTGTCCCGGCCACAGAACAGTCATCTGTAGGACCCAGTTACCACTCTGGTGTTAAATGCAAACGTAACACTGGACACCTTTTCCAGAATGCTAGTGCACTGTGCAGTCGTTCGCTTATCACTGTTTTACATACACCCCCTGAAGTTCCTATAGGAACATACCTTCCCTGGAGACATTCAAAACCCGCCTGGACACATTCCTGTGTAACATTATCTAGGTGTTCCTGCTCCGGCAGGGGGATTGGACTAGATGATCTTTCGAGGTCCCTTCCAATCTCTAGCATACTGTGATACTGTGATACTGTGATACGGGTTTTCTCTGTCCTCCCCACCTGAGCTCAGCACAGTTGTGCTTCACAATTGCAGGGCAAAGCACATGCAGAAAATGCATCGTTATCACTGCTCACTGCTGCCTCACTGCTGGCAGAGCGAGATTGTTTCCTGTAGTTGTTACAATAAACAAAGGAAATAAGGCTGGACAATGACTTACAGGAATGCCCTGCTTTCCACGGGAAACACGTAACTCTGCAGTGTACTCATCAGCACTCCAGGTTCCTGGGCACAGCCCTCCATCCCAGTTGCTGTGGGGCAGCAGAGCCACTGCAGGGGAGCTGGGTATGTGCCCAGGCATGTGCTAGCCGTGGGGCAGCCAGGGCAGGCGCCGGGCAGCAGCACAGTGCAACAGCTGTGCTGTGACACTGAGGTGGGTCAGGGGCCAGCGGCTGGTGACAGCTCTGCAGGAGCCATCCACCCATGAGCACTCAGCCGGTTTCTGCAGCTGCTGGCACAGCCTCTTATCCTCGGAAAACACTTCAGGGTTGTGCCTGGGACATGCGTTACCTCCAGGATGCCACTGAGCAGCAGACCTATGTGGCAAACCTAACAGGAACTGTTGAGGGAGCACCCTAGTGCTGGGGCTGTGGGCAGGAGCCTGGGCACCATGTGGGACCCATCACGCTGCAGCTCTACCACTCAGAGACACAGCATGTCCCCATGCCTGTACCTCCGGGTGTGTTAGGGGGAGGTCCTGGGCAGCACCACGGCACACTCAGACCACCACAGCCGTAGCAGGACATGGCGGCAGTATGAAGCCTTCTTCGGCAGCTGGTCAGGCTGACTGCTCCAGCCCCAGCTTCCACCCGCAACCAAGTTACTTGTGTATTTTAATGTTTCTTTCATGATGGTTTAGCAAGTCCCTTTGGCTTCTCCCCATCCTCCCTTTGCCAGTAAAAGCTCTGATCCCTGTTCTGTGCTTCCACCACCCCTGGTCCTGATGGGACACTGAGTCCAGACCTGTGAGCAGGCTCAGCACCCATGCTACCAGGCAGGTCAGCCTCCCAGTGCTCTCTGGCCCACTTTTCTGCTGGTCAGGGCCACAGAATAGCCCATCCACGCAAAACAGGCCAGATGACTGGCTCCTCTTCCCTGCGGGCTGACTAATAGGCTGTGATTTGCTAATCAGAAGCCTGTTCTCATGCATTGCTACCGCCTGAATCACGGCACTGCACCATCCAGACAAGTAACCACTACTGACCCTCAGCTGTTACCAATATACATTCCCATGCACTTAGGGAACAAACACAGGGCTCTTGAAGACCATTTCTGAAGCAGACACTTGGCAGCAAAACTCCTCCTGCTTGAACAGAAGCAGTTTCTCCCCCTGCTTAGAGGATATTCAGCACTGGAGAAAGAACATGCATGGGAACATGCACCAAAGAACCACAATGACCGTACTACCACATGCACTGCCTCTCTCTACCACCACTGCAGGACTTGGTCAAGGATGAGGTGAGGGTGCTATTTTCCTTGATGGGGTTAACATTCAAAGCAAGCGCTGACTGCCATTTATTATGAATTAAGTGGAGCTTACCCTGTTTTCAGCCAGAGACACATGAAGAGGCTCCATCCTTCCCTCCCCGTCTTCCTCCAGACAGTTGTCTATAGGAGCACTTGCCAATAGCCTCAGGACAGCGGCAGGTAGGGCACACCTCCTTCAGCAAGTCCCTATTGTGCTCCATTTGCTGCACGTGTTTTTACTCACAAGTTTGCTGAATATCTTCCATCTCTAAGTGAAACTAGTAATACTCTGTGTCTGTGTCAGAAAGCCTTTT